GTTCACAGTTTTCTTGGTGGTGGAGGCAAGAAGTAACCATATTTCCCGTTTCCAGAGTTGAAGTAAACGACCGGCAAGCTTCTCATTATCGGCCCCTGAACCACCTACAAATATCTCGGGCATCTTCTGAAATCAAAATCAATATTTGGCTAAAAAATCCAAGCCCACCCATCCAAAAATGCTGCTCATATAAATGCCTGTATAAAACCAAAGCTCTGTTGTGTGTGTGTGTGTGTGTGTGTGACATACATTACCACCAGGTACATACGCTCCCCCCCCCACGTCTCTCCATTCTATACCCAATTTTCATCGTTGTTGTATATAAAATTCTTTCATCTTCATTAACACCTTGTTGATCATGATACACCTTCCCCTCTACCACCCCCCTTATCTACCCATCATGTCCCACTCCCCCTAACACCATCTACCTCCCACCCTCCCTCCCCAAATCCCTCTCCACCATCTGCAAATCCGGAAACCTCTTCTGAAAATCCCTAATATAATCCTCCTTCTCCCCCGCCGTCATCTTCAACAACACAGCCCCCCCATTCCCCGGTAAATCCACCGCCAACAACGCCTCTCTCTTAACAAGACAAGCCGGCCTGTTTATCATCCCTCCACCCGCCTGTTGCTGTCCCAAATGCACCGGCTTCGGCGGCGGCGCAGGCAACGCCTTCCCACCCGAACTCGTCCCCGGCCTCCCTCCTTTATCCCCAATGATACTGCCCGGTTTCCTCGGCACATACGGCGGTTTCTCCTCCCCAGCCCCCCCCGATGATGATGTCGATGGCCGATCAGTATGCTGTCCATACCCCTGCGCAGTCCTAACAACAGCACCCCGATTGCTCTCATCCAGCAAACTCTGCACCTTGCTCTGTATCGCCTGCGCCCTTGACGCTCCGCCCCCTCCCCCTCCCCCAGCCGGTTTAGGGGGCGGGACTGGACCACCACCACCCCCTGAACCACTGCCCCGTTGCGCAACTCGCTGTCTATACTCCGCCTGTGCGGCAGCAACCCTGGCCTCCTCCTGCGCCAGCATCTGCGCTTCTTGCTCGCGCCTCATCTCAGGCGTCATCTCATCCTGGTCATGATCATCATCGCTATGCCCGCCCGTGGCTACCGATCCCGTAATGGGAGTCAAAACATCATGACGGTCGAGGTCTTTGAGCGGAGACGGCGTCCGGACGATAGGACCAGAGGAGGAATTCCCGCCTTCAAACCGCTTAAACGCATCGCCAAACTTGCCTGCGAGGATATTCTTCGCTCCGGCGCCGATGGAAGACAGACTCCCCCGCTTCGTGTGCTTATGGGACTTGTCCTTCTTGGCCGGTTCCGGGTCTTCGAGAGAGCGGAGAAAGTCAACGTTGGAGGCAATGTTTTTGTCTTCTTCCAGTTTGGGAGTCGACGGGCGGCTCCTGTCGAGGGAAAATCTTGGAGAGGGGGCTTGTTCCTTTTCGCGGAGAAAGTCCAGGTTGGATTCGAGGTGAGTGCTGATTGGTCTTGGGCGTGATGCAAGGTTCTCCAGGCTTGGTCGTCCGCCTTCTAGTGACGGCCTCGAGGAAGAAGGATGGCGAACGTGGCCGGCCTGTGGTGTGCCTTGATATGATGGCGTCCGGGAAACTGGCCGAGCTGCTGGATCTCCGAGCGCCGAGGGAGCAAGACCGAGACCTGTCTCTGGAGCTCTGGGTACACTGGCTGCGCGGTGACCATCAGCAGGTGGGAATCGATACACTTGGTACGGCGAGGGTCCTTCCGCCGGCGGAGGCGATGTCATGGTGCCAGTCGACACCATGGTTGGTTTAGGAGTTGGCTGGTAAAGAGGCTGCGGGGGTGAAGAAATTGCCTGCAGCTCGGGGGTGTTGGAAATGATGGTCGACGCCCGGCTGGCCCCAGGTTGTTTTGGTGGCGCAGAGGCAGACTTGAGCGGAGGAGACACCGGTGATGGGTCTGCCGCCGCTGGATAGGGGTTGGCTCTGCTTCCGTCAATGGACTGCCGTTGGCTTGGTTGCGTTGGAATTGGCGAAGGCGAGGGCTTGATCTGGAAAGCCTCATCTGCCAACTTCTCCGCCACCCTTGTTGACAGATCCTTGGGTAATTGCGGCGACCCCTGGTCAAAGTCGAATTTGGACCCATGGTCATGTAGAAGCGAAAACTGATCAAGAGACGGGAATTTTGATGACAGTTCATCCCCGCCCTTGATTACTGGCCTCGCATCAAGCGCGGCAAAGGGATCACCATTCGTCACCTTGGGTGACGTGACTGTTGCTGTTGTCGGAGCACTGGGCTGGGCAGCCGGCACTCGGCCTCGCCTCATGCGCTCAATCTCGGGAATGGCCTGCTGTTCCTGAGTGGCTTTCGGAGAAAACACGGCGCCAACAAGAGGCGGCGACGTGACCTTTTGCTGTAGTGATGAACTCTGTTTATGCTGATGAGGGTCTCCCTGCGACTTCCCCGAGTAAATCTAGATGTCTGAGTCAGCAACCGCCTTTCACTCTTCAATCTCAACAAGTGACTTACATCTTTGACTGGTGGCTCCCGGCCCTGCATTTTGCAGGCCTCACGGAGTACCTGATAAATATTCGGCCTGGCCTGCTGACTTTCACGTAGCATCCAGCCTAGCCAAGATCAGCTTCCAAAGTCAACTTTCCAACCTTCTCTCCCCCCCCTCCCCAACCCCCCCCCAAAAAAAAACAAAAAAAAAACTCACCAATAAGTCCCTTGAGCCTATCTGAAAAGGCAGGGTAACTAGGATATCTGAAACTGGCATTCAAAATAGCAAGCTGTCCCTGCTCCTCAAAAGGCGTGGTATAATAGCAAAGCTTGTACAGCAGCACGCCGAGCGCCCAAATGTCCGACTTCTCGTCAATCGGCTGTTTCCTGTAGACATCGACCATTTCCGGACTCCTGTACTGCATCGTGGTGTGTTTCTGAACATCCTCATCCATCAACCTGCACTCGACCACCGTCTGGGGAGCCGCGCGCGGTGCCGCCGCCGAACCGAAATCGCAGAGCTTGAACTTCCGGACAGACCCAACCATGGTGATTAGCACATTCTCGACCTTCAAGTCGCGGTGCAAAAGCGGCGGTCGGAGGTAATGCATGCAGGCCACGCCCTCAGCAACATCGGCAAAAATGTTGAGAATCTCGGGTTCCGTCAGCCGGTGCTGCAGGCGCGTGTTCATAAAGTCGATCAGCCCGCCGCCGTTGCAGTACTCCATGAGCAAAAACACCTCGTACCCGCCGCCGCGCAGCTCCGATGCGTGAGAGTCGATATACGTGACAATGGCCTTGTGGCCCTTCAGGCGCTTCATGGTCTCGACCTCGGTGCGCATCCCCCGCAGCGATTCCTTGTCCGGGACGGCGACCCGCTTGAGCACGGCCAGGTCGGTCCCGTTGACGGGGGCGGCCAGCTTGACCAGATATACATGTGCGAAGCCGCCCTCGGAGAGGTATTTCTGAATCACCACGCGGTGGTTGCCAACCTGGATCTTGGTGCCGGGGGAGAAGGTGCCCGCCGGTGGTGCGCCGGGGACGCTCCCTGGTACGGGTGCCCCGTAAGGTACTGCGGGCCGCGCCGCTGCCGGCACCGCCGCCTGGCCGTACGAAGCCATGACCGTGAAATTCCTCCGATGGGCAGCAGCGTGTGTTTGGTGAAGCTGTGAGGTATCGGGGAACACGGGTTCGGGGCGGTCGGGACCGAGAAAAAGGGGGCGGTCGACAGTCCGGGGCGGTGAGAGGGGAGGGAAACAGCTGGACACGGGAGACGACGAACGGAAACGGGGAGCGACTGGTTCGCGGGGGGGGTGGGAGGGAGAGGGTGGACTTGGGCGGAGCAGGTTTTGGCTGGCAAGCGACTTTCAGGGCATCGATGGGGAATTCGGTTTCGCGGGGGAGGGGTTGCTGCCTACGCTACGCGCCGCATGGCCGAGCAGTGGTCGGTTCAGCAGATATTGAATCTTGAGTGCTCCTCGAGGATGACGACAAACGTTTGCTTTGGGGGACAGAGGCTGAATTCGATGTTTGTCGTGCTGCTCATCCAGGTACAAGTACCGCCTGAAAGACAGACAAATGCCAATGCCAATGCCAGGCAGGTCAGTGCTTACACCTCACTGCACACGGACAACTCAGGTGGAGCCAGCTGGCACGGGATGGCTTGGCATTTCCCCAGACCCCCAGTTCAGGGGGGGCCACTTTCAGGGGACAACGGGCCACTTCAGGAGGAGCCACATCAACGAAACACCTTACCACAACCAACGCATCAAACTGTTAACATCTCGCGGCCTGATATTGTATACGCTTTTAGACTCAAAAAAGAACAAACCAATATAGCTTTGGACATGACTGATTAGGTGCGTACTCTAGTCTATATAGATTTCATCCCGAGAAAATAACTACGTCTCATCTTCACATTAATCATCTCCCAAACCAGATGCCACGGGCGATTCCCTCTCACCACAAGACATCTTCATGCAAAAATGGTATCCAGTCATAAAATCCCCATAAGCCCACATTCCAACACACAACAACGCTCTGTACCAAACGCTTGCCCATGTACATCATCGTCAACAAGAGGAAAAGAAAAGATGGTCGACAGATCAGAAAAGGGCTCCCAACATGCGTTTGCGTAAGGGTTTCTTTTCTTCAGGCTCGAAATTGACCGGATCCCTAAACTTGGCATCCGTCTTGAGATCAATCGCGTGCAGAGGCGTCTGCAGCCTCCACTCTCCCGTCTTCACCTTCCACCCGAGCCAGAGAAAAAACATCACCGGTGCGGCCAGGTAGCCCTTGAAGAACTTCTCAGCCGTTTCCGCCGCAGTAGCACCTGGTTTAGGCTATTATCAACAAAAAGAGTCAGCAAATATCACTATGATAAAGGACAAGAAGATGGAAAAACAGACCTTGGCGCAGACGTAGAAGGCGGCTGCGAGACAGACGCCGTTGAAAATGAGGGCAATCCAGCTTCCCCAGACACCACCTGATGGCTTGTATGGGACCAGGTCAAGGGACAAGCCTTGGACCTCCATAGCCTTCCGGAAGCGAATGTGCGCGAGGCAAATCGAGCCCCAGATGAAGAAATACGTCACGCCAGTGACGGCAAGAAGCCAGTCGAACAACTTCATACCCGCATCGTTCGGTGCCAGCCCGACATACGCAATCAAGGCAAACAGGAGGAGCACGATCGTGCAACGCATAGGACGGCCCTGCTTGTCGATTTTGGCCAGGCAAGTGGGTGCCATGCCAACTTGAGCCATCGCCTGGACAGTGCGAGTGAAACCAAACGACGACGAGTTGGCGACACTGATGACGGCGATGGTGATGACGCCGTTCATGATGTGTGGGAGCACCTTGATTCCGG